TTAAACATTCTCCTCCGAAAACAAATATTTTAACTGTGACTGAAAAATGTTGATACTATACTTTGTTAAAGTAAATTATCTACAGTTTCTTAATTTAACCCATTTCTCTTAAGGCTAATTAATTTTTCATCAAATTTCAAAGTATCATCTTTATTTGCCACGTATTTATTTATTACATTTGATGTAGGCTTACTTTTTGTATATTAATTCTGTTCGTTAAATATCTACTGTTTATGGTAAACAAAGTAAATATCTGCCTAAATATCTGTTTTTGTCTGCTATTTATATATCTGTGATCAAGATTCTTTGGACATTGTATAAGTTAGGGAATTAAAATTTTTTGGGAACATTGGGATATCTGGTTATCTGGTTGATTTGATACTGCCTAAATAGACTGTAATGAAATCTAAGCCTGTATTTCTATATAGTAGCAAGAAGGTGTCTGACCTTTTACGTTTGTAAATAAATAAATTTAAAAAATCACATATTTATAGTAAAAAGATTTGAATGTGACAAACACAGTTATAAACGTATATATAAAATATCTAAGTTTTACTCTAGTAATACAAAAGTGAATATAGGTTTATACGTGCTAATTCGACACTCTAATAGTTAGCTACTGTTTTTGTATCTCTGCCATGTTTCCCCCCTTAAAACATGTATAGGCTTATAACGAAAATAAATCAATCTAAGAGAACTGAAATATTTTAATAATTTTTTGGTTGTAAGCGAGGATTTACTTTTTGATTAAAACTCGAACAAGCACGAGATAAAATGTCTGTTTAAATCTTTCTAGCGTAGATGAAGAATAGAATTACAATTTTGCTAAATCATTCTGTCAGATTTTTGAAAGTATACATTAATTTTTTCAAAATAAAACAAAGATAAGTAAAATTGCATGTAAACTCTAAGCTCAATAAAGAACAGTCTTTTTTTCCAAAGATACTTTCCTGTCTAAAAATGATTTGAAGGAAATCTTTATTCAAGTTGACAGCACTACTTTCAAATTACAGATTAAAGATATCTACAGTGTTTTCACTGTACGACTCTCTGATAAATACCTTTTAAAATAATATTTATCAGTTTTAATAAATTCTATCCTCGTCGGCGCCACATTGTCCATTCTTCGGAAGGTCAAACAGTGCGAACACTGCAGCTATCTTTGATTTGTAATTGGCAAGTAGTATCGTCAATTTGAATAAAAGTTACCTTCAGCCCATCTTTAGATTGGAAAAATGTTTTTTATTGAACTCAAAGTCGGTTTACATACGATAAATATCGCCATTTTAGTAGCAATTAAAAAAATATTAACTTAAAAATAAACATTTTTTTTCCTATTGAGATTTTAGAAATTCGTCATTATTTTTAAACGTAAATTATGCAAAATAAAAAATAATGAACAGTAAATATTTTATGTAAGCCTAACTATATAAAAAAATGAATACAGCAACAAAAGTTGTAAGTTTCTGTTAATATAAACTGCGCAACTTTCATAACTTAAGGGTTGTCTAACTCCATTTTGGATTGATAGTCATTCCCTTGGGTGTCATACGTTTCTCCTTCGTCGACAATTCGACTTTAAATTGACAGCTGACAATCTGCAACTACCTTAATTATTGAAATTAAAAAAACGAAGAAAAAATCAAAATTATATCTAGACATGTTAATATATTAAACTTATTAAAAATCTTAAATACGAGTATAATTTATACGTCCATCATGATGCTTTAAATATCTTTATATTTATTTATAAATATAGCATTAGTTTACTGTAATAAATGATAATAATTTAATGTAGATAATAAAAAGCAAATTAAAATAATGTTTAAAATCAAATAAAATACTGTAATTTTTGTATATAATTTAATATTAAAAAATTATAGTCTTTATTTTGTAAAGAGGCTAAAACATCTCTTCTAACTTCCATACATTTGAAAATTATTAAAATATTTATGATTGCTTCTCTAATAACACAATTACTATATTTAACTGTTATAATTTAAAAAGTATTTATAAGGAAACATCTGCATCCTGGAAGGAGTGGAGAGTGGTGGGCAGATTAAGAGGCAAAATTCTTTGCTCTTCCTGTAAAGAAACAAAGATAAATGCATCTCTACATGCACGCATAAGGGGTTAGTAAATATAATCTATTATATTAAAACGAAAAAGTTCGCTCCTAATTAATTGAATAATTCAACACATTATATCTTATCTTCGTGATGGAGCATTTAAGAGCTCTTTTAATCGAGTCTCTCTTTAATTAACTGTCACGTTTTCAATAAATTTTAAAAATGTGTTTTAAATTTTTAGATAATTGACTAAAAAAATAAGAAATTACATTTTTATATTATAAATGAAATAGGTGTAATTAAATATACTAATAATTTACTAATAAATACATTAATAAATTTTATTAATAGAAATGTAACTGTCAGCATTTTAAAAATTATTAAAAACTATTAAAACTTATCAAGAAATGTTTATATTTTGTCTTCTGTTTTTATAAAAACACGATAAGTATAATAATAATCCTTATAAAAGTAATTATAATCATTTTTTTAACTTTAGATACTTTTAAATTTTACTAGCAGATATGCCCAGCACTGTGAGACTGGAGAAAAGTAAAGGACAAACATTAAAATAAAAATTATATTTGAGTTTGGATATTTTAGTCTAATAATATGTTTATCACGAAGTGCCAAGGAGATGAAATCAGGAGGAGAGGTAGGACGTTTAGGTTTCAGGGTAGACTATATTCTTCTAAAGAGTAACTATGAAAACGTTGATGCAGATTAATTAAAGATTTAGCGGTAGGAAGATGAGAACAGATTGATGGACGACTATATATATATATATTTATAATTAATTTTTATGATTGTAACAATTTTAATAATTGAATATTCTTCATCACAAATTTTATAATGGATTTTAGACATATCTTGAACAATTTTATCCTTTAATAAAAGGCTTTGATACTTTTTGTAGAAAAATTTCACTTTCTTATTTACATATCAAATGCCTTTCAGTCTAGGCTTAAATTATAATTTAAGAAAATTTGCTAAAAACGAAAATAAAATGTACTTTATCAGAAAAATTAATTTTAGACCTTATTTTAAATAATTAGTTTCTGATCTTTTTGAATTTTATTTTTACAAATTTATTTGTTTTTATTTTTTAATGATAATAAGTATATTTCAAATTCGAAGTGTTGTAATGTTATTGAATTGACTATCTTATTTGTAGTTCATAGGCTTTATAAATATATACCTTTATATATATTTATATAAAGGTATATATTTATAAAGCCTATGTACTACGAATAAAAAAATAAGAGAATAAGAGAAAAATAAGAGAGAACTCTCTTCTCTTCTCTTCTCTTTAAGAGAAGAGAGTTCACTCCCTTATTCTTTTATTTTTTTATTATCTGTTTTCATTAGATTTTATTTTCTCTTCTCTTATTTTCTCTTATTTTCTTAAAGAGAAAGCTTTTATCTTCTCTTTAGGACAACAGAGAGAATATTATTTAGAAATAAAACCTCTAAATAATATAAGAAAAAATATTTATTTACAACTATTATAGACTATTATTTTTTTAAAAGTCTATAATACGTAATCTAAGAAGTTATTACGATATAGGGAAAAGACAGTTCTAATGAATCTCTCTTTCTCTGTCTTAAAAATCGCAACGAAATTGATAAAATATTGTAAAGAACAATACAAAACTATTGAATTAAACTAAACCTTACTGCAATAATATTATTTTAAATTATATTTCAAACAAAGTTTATTAATTTTAATTTAAGAGCTATCTAATCGTATTCCACTAATATCACTAAAAAAGTTCACGTTGTCAATGCCTCGATCCCATTCCTCCCCGTTGTGTACAGTACAATGATATACTTTTCGCGACCCTTAAATTGTACGCATAATTAATGGACGGTTTTTTATGGAATATTTATTTGATTATAGTAATCATTCTACATAATCCGAAAAATTTAAATATAACTATTTTTTTTTAATTACAAACAATTAAGATCGAAAAGTATAAATATAAAATGATACACTTAAAAATTTAAGAAATTTATAATCCTAACATAAAATTTTAAATATATTTTTTTAATTTAAAGATATAATCTTAAAGAAATGAAAAATCTACCTTAAGTTTATTCATTATTTTTATACTAATCAGTTTACTGCAAAGAATAATAATAAAGAAATGCTATAAGTTTCTTATTAATATAGTCATTTTTCATTTTTATTCACATTATACATTCACTCGAGACTGAACACTTCAATACTTCATTTTTGTCACATTTGAATAACATGTAATGTAAAACATTTCTTGGTCGCTGCTTCATCATGAAATAAAGAATCGTTCCGTTCATTTTCATCTTTTCATATTATACGGAGATGTCCCCGATAATAAGTGTTAAGTCTCGAATGAATCACCCTGTAAATACGGTTAGTTACTTTTCATATTCAATTATTTGTAGATAAAATTATTTTTATAGTAAAAAATATTTTAATACATAAACTTATTCATTTCCACAAAAAATGAAAAATAATACAGAGATAGAAATTTATTTTTAAACAGAGAGTCTAGAACTCTTATAACCAAAGTTAGAAAAGTTCTTATAGGAAGTTAATTTCTTCTCATACGAATTGAGACAAAATAGGTGAGAATCTGTGCACTTTTTCATTTCATCATACTTTGTAATAATTTCGTTTAAGTTCCAACAGAGTCCGTTAAATCGCGGATCTACTATATTTTATTTTAAGTATGGTTAAGGTTATTTTATTTTGATGTATATTGGTGGGATTCAGTAATATTTTTTATTCTTTCAGTGAAAATATTATATTTGTCGTTTGATTTTCTTCTCAATTTTTCATAAATTTGAGAATCTGACACTATTGATTAGTTCTAGAGACATTTCCAAACTTTTTCATCATCTTCATAAACTTCGTTATTAATCAATTTAGAAAATATCCAATGACAGTAACTGTATCGACTATCTGCCAACCAATGAAATGACATCAAGGTGTGTTTCACAATCTAAACCACTTCATTTTGCTTCTACGACAAGGGGGTAAGTGTTTAATTAAAATTTCCAGCCATCTGCTCTTGCAAACTTCCGTATAAATACAGAGGATACTTGTCACTTTTCTTCATCCACAAAGGTAAGTGGAGCGAATTGAGTTATATTCTTTCACTTGAAAGTACTTCAGGACTTTTTGCTCCCAACGACAAGTGTAATACCAAGATGCTAAATGTTTTTTGGATACTGATTGGTGTCGGGATGTGCATTACTGCTGTTCAATGTGATTCAGAGATGGAAAGGTAAGTCGATCCGCAAACACTTGATAATGTTTGCATTAAATTTAATTAAGTAGCTGGTAATTTTTGAACGTAAGCATGTTAATTATCGCGAGTATACTTTTGTTGATAAAGTAAACTCTGTTGAATTCAGTAATTTTAAAATAATATTTATCATTATTTTAAATAATTTATCAAAGTAATGTTACTAACATAAAGTGAGATTCTATTTAAATTTATAAAAATTAAAAAATAGATCATTTAAATCTTAATAAAAAATAAAAATATGAATAAATAAAAAATCATTGATTATTCAAAAGTTAATGTTAAAAATCCCTTCAGACTATACATTATTAAATAATGCTTAATGCTTATTATTTTTTTAAAATATTTATTAGCTTGTAATTAAAATTTGAAACATTAATACTAAAAATTTTAGTAAAAAATTTATATTTTATTAAATAATTTTTCCAGTTCCATTAGAGACATTTTAACGAAAAGAAGATATTTGAAATATGCCCGGAAAGTTTTGGATGACTTTAACAATCAATTGGACAATCTTCAGTGAGTAGTTAGTTAAANATAAATTATTTTCCAAAATCTAAGATGAATAATAAATTTAGATTATATTTAAAAGTTGATTTAAATCAGAAATATTATCATTATCAAATTACAATAAACCCTCAATTTAACGGACTAATTGGGGGAAACGTGTGCCCGTTATTGCTACAAGTTCGTTTAATCGAATATGGTTTAAAAACAGATTAATAAACATTGAATCCCGAACTTAAAATGTTCAGGATGTGTTAAAATGTTATTATTTAAAAGTATGAACTAAATAGTATAACGTAGGTTACACTGAGTAATTTATACTCATTGGCTCATTGTCCAATGTTTAGAATGCTCTATTCGCGAACAAATAAGATTTTAAATTTTTCCTACAGGACAAATCTTTTGTCCATTAGATCCGAAGTCTATTAAATCGAGGGTTTACTTTATTTGATTGCATTTTAATATTGGAATTGCTTTTAAACGTAAAAAGGAATGATAGTAGTTAACGCGTTTGTGTATTCTTACTTTTAAGATTTGAATATTTTATGAATAAATTACTGATTCTGAAGACTTTTTATGGAGAATTCCCTGAGATTGTGACGAATAAAGAGATAAACCAATTATGCTTTATATAAATCTCATAGCAAAAATATACGGAAATTTTGTGCAATTTAAAATTGAATTTTTGAATATTTACAATAATAATATTTATTTGAGAAATTTACGAAATATCTTGATCTCGAGATATTGAAGGAAAAAAATCAAATTTAAGTCAATTTGACGTTTCATCTCAAACTTCCTTCTTTTTTCTTGGTTCACTCTGAATCTAGTAGTTAAAAATTGAGCCAGGAATTTGGATGTTCTGTATAAAACTTGGCTGGAAACTTTACAAATTAAATATGTTTCAATAAATATTTATAACTGGATTATTTGTTTGTTTTTCTAGGGTTTGTGTTCTTTTCCTAGTTTTAGCATTTTATTATTTTCATCGCATCAAAACAACACTTTCATCAGTTAAACCTGTAAATATATTTTGTTAATTTAATTTTAACGAACTTAAAATTTAAAATCTGAATTCATAAAAGCGAAATCACGAAAAAGCTTCTAATGTATACCGAAAGATAGTCAGTTGATATGATATTTCGACAAAAAAAAAAAAAATTATTAATATTCTCTATAGGCACATAGGATAAATCGCTTTCAACGAATTTTTAATGTAAAATTTTATTTTATATTTATTAATGGAAAGAAAAATTAATTTATTTAGGCCTAATTGTTTTTTCTGTTACATTAATTTATTAGATTAGATTAGATTTAAATTCTCATTTTTGAATTTTATTCGGTGCAGTTGGTTCTTTTTCGTATTTTTAAAATAACTTTTAAAATTATATTTATAAGAGGTAACGTTAAATTGAGTCCTATACAGTACGACAAATATAAATAATTTTATCCTTGAAATAGGCGATTATAAAAAAATTAATATATCTTCTATCGCGAGAGAATGTTCAAAAATATTTTTTATAAATTAATATAGACGAATATTTCGTATTATACTGAAAAATTTTAAGGAAAAAATTACCTAAGCAATGGAGAATCTCTTAAAATAATCTATTAATGTTCAGGATAATGGAATAATTTCTTTATAAAGAGTAGAGATAATTTTACAATAAATGATTTTGCAAATACGTACGTTGCGTGCGTTTCTGAACTGAGAATATTCAGAATTCAGAAAGATCAAGCGCACTACATTGACACAGCATGATAACGTCACACAGTTTTTATAAAAATAGCTGGTCCCGCCTTCGCGCCACACCAACAAGCTGACCACGTTTTTTTTTGGGGGGGGCTTTCTTCACGTGTCTAACATCTAATTAGAGACAGTTTCCCATAGAAAGTTCTCTCGGGAGACACTTCCCTTGGAAAATTGCAGTCGTGCTGTGTCCTCTTAATCCATTAATGCTCGAAATTTTGATATTTTTATGAGCAAATAGAGAATCCTTAAATGCAATATTCAGATGGAATATTTATATTTTAAATTTTTATGATAAATTAATTATCGATGAATAGTATAATATCTAATCATACAGATAACTTATTTGAGAGCTAATGTTCCATATAAAATTTGTCAGAATTATTTTAATTGTTTCATAGTTCAATAGCTATTATTAGGATGCCAACTCTTCCGGATTCTTTGATAAACTTCTAAAATATGGGGAAAATTTCAAAATTCTTCCACTCCGATTTAAGGCCTACTTCTTTCATATTTATTCGAGAAGACGATCAGCTTTTTACATGTATATTAAAGCAGACTAAAGAATAGGCCGTAGCATTTTACTATTGCTGAGAGTAAAACATAGGAAATTCACGAAATTTTTTACTCGTGGATCTGAAACTCTCTGAATTAACAGGAGTTGGCAAGCCTAATTATTATTCACAGTTTAGTATTTTTATTTGTTTGATATGTCAACAACTCTGTATTACAAACATTACAAATAATGTAAGATTCTGTTTAACGTAACTCCAAATTTAAAAAGTAAAAAAATAAAAGCGAGAGAGTGAAAATTAATAAATAAGTTACGTAACTTTATTGTAATTTAATCGTTTTATTTCTAGTAAAAGATCTTGTGTATTAAACCTTCCTGGAATGGATTGCGAATATGGAGATATATCTGGAAGTGGAAAAGATCAAGATTTCTGGACAAGTGGACGGACTCCTGGCAAAAAACGAAGGTCTTATTGTAACTTGGGATTAGGAAACTCAGAAGAATGCCTAACCAAACAATTGAAAGACGACATGACTGATTTTAACAGCTGGAATGACAAATTTCGACCTGGAAAAAAATAAATAAATATATTCAATTTAAACCAAATGACTGTTTGAAAAATAATATCTTCGTATAATTGTTAATAAATTTTTTCCCTCGCTTATTGTACAGTGTAATTTCTTTTCGAATATTTATTTCCTATGCATTTCACTGAAATAGAATAAACACGAAAATTGTTTAACAACAATTTAACTACTTTTAAATTTAATTAAATTATTTATACGAGTATTACCTTAAACAGTTATAAGCTATAAATATAATTAAAAGATGATAACTTTAAAACAGTGGCGAATCTATAAACAAATTTCGAGAGTAGCGACCTTTAATTCGTGTAAACTACATATATTTAAATAACAAAAATTAACAAAATGAAAATTGTAGTATATATATATATATATATTTATTATTATACAAATCCCAAAGTGTTTCATTAATTTAATGCCAGTTTTATGCGGAATGGATAAAATCACTGAACACTGGTATTTTGGTACATGTTCTCACCAACATAAAGAAAATCAACAAAACAACTGACGTGGTCTGGCCACGTGGAGTTTCCAGATTTTCTTCATTTATATAATATTTAAATAGAACAAGGTTAGCATAGAAACTCCTCCTGGGAAATCGCCCAAGTATTGTGTTGCCTTATTCAATCGATGAATCTGAACCATATTTTAGGAATAACAAAACGAAAAGCTTTACATGTAGTTCTTCCAAATGTAATGTTGAAATTTTCTTCGAACTTCTCCGATCTAATATCGTGGTTTTTAATTTTCGAAATCTCTTCTTACAATTCCAAAATTTTAATCATTTTTAAAAAATGCTTAATTGTTGATCCAATAACGTTAGGATCTGCAGTAATGACTAAAGGACTAAACTATAAGCCTATTATTTAAAAATTAATAATAACGCCTGTGGTAGCATTAAAAATTTCAGAAGAAATCGTTCTAATTACATTCTCTTGATCCGTCACTGCTTTGAAATTTAAATTTTGAAATTCAGTATATTATTCACTGTTAAAATCGAAATTAAATTTCTGGATTGAGTTGAATTGATAGAATAAGACAACACAACACATAGTCAATCTGCCAAGAAGAGATACTTTCCAGAAACTGTCCGTATTTTAGAATTAAAAAATTGTAGACCTATAAATTCTCATCGTCGTCCGTCTGTCTATCTTTCCTTAATCTCGAGAACAGAGTTAGATAGATCAAAGACGAGACCAAATATGGAACCAAAGAGGCAGGAGGCCCCGATTAACTAGATACGAACTTCCGATAAAAACCGGAAGTCACGTTATTTCAATTCAAAACTTTCCTGAAAGAAGTTAATAGATGACTGGTACGACTCTATTGTTAAAGGAAAGGACGTGGCTATTTATACATACAGTATGTATATGCCATTGGCTATTTATACATACAGTATGTATGCTCAATTGGCTATTTATGCATACTGACTGTATGTTCCTATATTCCGGCCGGATACTGACTGTATGCGCTATTATTACAATTAATATTTTGATAATAACTACACAATTATAAATAATTATAGTTTTATTTATTAAAGTTCAGTTACAATGCTGTTTAATAAAGTAATCAATAAACTATGAAGTATCATTAAATCAGTGAAATATAGGTAATGAAATTTAAAGTAGATTGGTAGGTATACCAATAAAGTAAATTAAATATATTATTTTTTATTCTGTATTTTGATTTTTGTTTTTTTTTTGTAAAAAGTGGTCTACTTAGTTATTCTCTTTGGATGTCCTTTGGATTTAATTTTAATTTTGAATTTTAAGTTTTTATTTGATTGATTTGAACAGTGCTTGTTATTAGACCAAATTTGTTCTTCTTATGGTTCAATTGTACTAAACCCACTGTACTCTTATTTGTACTCTTATGTTCAAAAAGAGAAATTCCATTTCTTGCATTGCTTTCTATTACTTTTAATTCCTCTACATATTTATTGAAGTTTTCATTCCATAATTAGGCAAAATATCTGCAATATTTTTAGTTATCACCAGTACTGTATTAAATTTTTCCGTATCCGATAATATTTTGTTGGGACAATCAAACTCATCAGTAAAAGTTTCATCTTCAATATGATCATTAATGTCTACATTTACATCATCTGTATCCATACTTAGTGCATTTTCAATTGAAATAATATATCTTGCATAAAAGCAATTTTTGAAAATTTGTGCAAATTATTATATTTTCTTATCATAAGAATATGAGGACATGGTGCACTAAAAGAATTCCAAAATGAACAAGAACATGATTCCACCGATGTATTATAAAATTTTGATATTTTGCTATCAAGATTTTCTTCAATGCCATTATTTTTAATTCTCATTTCGATTATTTAATTCTCATTTCTAGATAATCGATATCATAATTAGGATATCGATAATCGAAATTTAGGATATCCTAAATTATAAATAACATTAAAACTGTCATCTTTACTTCATGGCTTTAAAAAGGTTAAATAGCCAATTGAGTATACATATCATATGTATAAATAGCCAATTGCGTACACATACTGTATGTATAAGTAGCCACTTTGTAAAGGGAAGAAAAAGTACCGTGTTTTCACGTATTGTCTAGCACAGGGATTGGCAACCTTTTTCTATGTAAAGGCCGCATTTTGAAACTTTTGAAATGACGCGAGCCACACAACAGAGAAAAGAGAAGAAAAATGCCGGTAAATCACAATTATTTATTCATATATAATTATAAATCAGCATAGGTATACTTAATTTAACTTCTGGAACTGATGTAAACGTAATATATCGGAAATTATTTGGTTAAATATTAGTCACCGCTAGCTTTAAATTAGTTTCGATGTATCTGTTAGCCGGTTCCTTGTTTTAATTTTTACTAAATTCATTGCGGGAAAAACTATTTATATACATAAGTTGTAGAAAATAACGTTTGAATTTTTGCCGCATACTTCCTTAAGCTAGGAAATTGATATATTTATTCATATTTTATGCGACGAGGGCCGCAAAAAATATTAATGCGGGCCCCATGCGGCCCGGGGCCTCAGGTTGCCCATCCCTGGTCTAGCATGTCTGTCTCACTAGGGGAGACTAGGAAATCAGATATTTTCATATAGTAAAATCCGGCATGCTGGTTTAAATGAGTTTATACGTTCATCTATAAAGAGCGCATTAAAAAACGAGAGAGTTGTCAGGTAAAAACGAACGAGTTTTTATTCTAAAACTGGAAAACTGTCAGCATTACATCAAAAACTACGATTATACGTTTAATTTCTTCATTGGCTTCTTTCTAACGATGTAATGTACTCGTGGAATTTTAAACTGCTTATTTTTATTTTATGGTAATTCGATTAAAAAACGCAAAGAATAAACATATTAAATTTAACAAACTCGTAAATTATCTCAACTTACATCGATTAACATCGGCTTTGTGTGAAATTTAACAGAAAAATGTTATTTTTAAGGTCGGGGTGGATGGCTAGTGTATTACTAAACTGACTATTACTACTACTATTAATGTCAATAAGTTGCAAATTGTTTTATTGTCTTGTAAACAAAAACTCTCTTACTGATTTTAAGTCAGTAAAATGACAATGATACAGTAGAGCATCGATTATCCGACTCTATTGGGGACTCAGGTTGGTCGGATAACTGAAAAATCGGATAACCGAAAAGAATGAAAAAAATACATTATTAGTATAGTATATTAGTATATCGCTATTAACCAACTTCGTGTTGAATTTTCATCGATGTTAAACTTTTTTATAATAATAATCGTCGCTATTGTATCGTTAAAAATTATTTTTAAATTATTTTATTGCTCACAAAACAAAACAACCACTCATAATTAGAAAATTAAGTCGCGTTTAAATACTGGCCTCTCTTCAATGGTCGAGCCAGTATTGCCAGTTAAAACATGCAAAAATTTCACAAAAATAATATTAAAGTAGCCAAGACATAGCCAAATATTGTAGCGCCACATCACTAGCAGACATTTGAAATTTGCGGACTAGAATGGTTGGTTAACTGATGTGACGGTTAATCGGGGGTCGGATAATCGATGCTCTACTGTATTATATTATATACTCGATAGAATGCTTTTTTTAAAACAATTATTTAATAACTAGTGTTTAAAATTTCTGTTACATAAAAATTTTAGTTCTATTACATCAGCTATATAATAACTACAGGAAATGTCTATTGCTTATATACCACTCTGCTTACCACGAATATTTGAAGATACTTGTTAAGAAAGATAAATAATAGAATAAGAATAAAAATTATTAATGTTATCTGCTTCTAAAATGATATTATGTCAGTCAGTTCTTTTCTTAAATCTTTTTGTAATAAAATTCTCATAAATAATTATTATCCATATATTAATTAATTTGGTAAGCCACAAATACTGTTCAGCTTCGTTTGAGAGAAGAGCTGAAAGTACAAACATGATTCAAGTATCAAAATAAACCTCTTGATCTGTAGACGAGTCCATTTCAGTTAGAAATAAAAATTCACAACTGTTTTGACATAGTGTCGCGGTAAAGGTACTAAAGTACAATGTTAAGTCTACCTAAGAAATGTGTAGGGCGCTTACAATGCCATCTAACGATTTAGTTTTTTTAACCGTTAGAACGAACAACCGTGGCTCACCCCATATTCTGAATTTCTGATTTTTTCCGCTAATTGTACATTAATTAAAAGACTTGTACTATGCATTTAAATAAAATTAAATTACGAATCAGAATCACTTCTATTTTTGAACTAAAATATTCTAATTTTTTAAAATCTGTAATAAAAAAAAGTATGTATTAGTAAAATAAACGCTTATACTTTTCAACAATAAAGGCGTTTTTTTAATAAATAAAAGTTTTTTAAAAATAAATTAGTTTTGTCAAATTGACCGCACAGCCAATCTCTGATTTTTTTATCGTTACTTCACGATGAGACCAAAAACAAAGATTCTAACCGTCCAATTCGTTACTTAGTGCCGATTAATGGATTTCTCGACAAGCCTACCAACAAACAAAAGAGTAAATTTAAACATCCGACTGTTGGTACGTCCAATAGTTTCATTCGCGAAGCCCAGGACAAGGTGATTGCCACGAAGTGGGCCGCCAT